TGTTTTGTCTTGGGGCTTTTTACCTTTCTTTTATTCTGTATGTTCTATTTTTCTGCTTCCTCCATGGCTGGCTGGATAGCCCTTGGTGTCTCCCTGGTGTCTTTTTCTTTCTTCTTCCCACCTAAATTCCTCCTCCTACGTTTTCTCCCTGCCCAGAATTCCCGCCTATACCTCCTCCCTTGCTATTGGCCATTCAGCTTTTTACTAGACCAATCAGGTGCTTTAGGCAGGCAAGGTAAAACAGCAGCACCATCTTTATATAATTAAACAAATGTAACACATCTTTACATAGTTAAAAAATGCAATACATCTTTGCATAGTTAAACAAATACTCTGCAACATATAGAGATGGGGGAAAGTTCATTTGGTAAAGAGCTTACCTTGCAAGCAAGACCTGAATTCTATCCCTAGAACCCACTTTAAAAGCTAGGTACAGCAGCCCACGCTTGTAATCCTGTCACTGGGGAAGTGGAGACAATAGGATCCTTGAGACTTCATGGTCTGCCAGTATATCCTAATCAACAAGTTCTAAATGAGAGATTCTGTCTAAAAACATATAAGGTGGAGAAAATTTGAAAAAGATGTTAGCATTGGCCTCTGCCACCTCACACATGTACAAGCATACACAAAGAACTTGGCTTAAAGATAAGGAGATAGAGTAAGATCAAGAAATGTTTAAACAAGTGGAAGCTTTAGCTTGTGTATACCTGGGTGGGGAGGACCCAGGTGGCAGGCACAGAGCAGGACTCCAGAAAAAAGCAGAGATGCAAGCTTGCACTGGGCTGCAGGAAGCTGGACCCATTTGCAGCCTTCTGGAGCCTCTATGATAGAGAAGAATGTTGCCCCTTGGCCCAGGTAGCAGATTCACAACATCCAGGTCCTGTTTGTCCTTTCCTCCAGCTGAGGACAGAGGGTTTGATATACAGGGCCAATTATGTTATGTTGTGTTATGTTGATGATGAGACAAGACTCAGTAGATGGTGGTTGGCCTCAAAACTGTGGGCCCTTTAGTCAAAACTGTTTCATGAAAGAACTAAAATATACTTTGCTCTTTTACGCTCTCAGTCTCCCAGCAGCTTCAGGACATGTAAGATGCAGGCAGACTAAATGCAGACACAGTGGGGAAGATCTGACTGTCTTCTATTAATCCAGATAGTAAAAGAAATTTCACACGTGTACAGTAATGTTACTCCTTGCAGTAAGTTTTTTCCAAATGGTGCAGTCTTCATTAAAATGTTGAGTTGGGGCCAGGAGGACAAAGCAGTGGTTAAAGTGATTGCCACACATGTGTGAAGACCCTATCTTGGATCTCCAGAACCCAAATAAATAGTGGGTGGGCATGGCAGCTTGACTGTAATTCTAGTCTTTCAAGGTAGAGGTATGGCACCCCCAGAGCATGCTGGCTAGCTGGACTAATTATGTAGTCGAACTCTGGGCTTGATTAAGAGAACCTACATCAATGAATAAGGTAGATAGTGTTCAATAGAGAATGGTTCCCAGCATCAACCTGGGACTGATACATTATGTGGATATACAAGTGCCCATACATGCAAACATGCATACACATCACTGTTGTTCGTTGTTTTTGCACTTTTGAGGGGCCCACCACCTAGCTCCCAAATAAACCACACATGGAGGCTTATTCTTAATTATGAATGCCTGGCCTTAGCTTGGCTTAGTTTTTAGCCAACTTTTCTTAACTTATATTATCCCATCTATGTTTTGCCTCTGGGCTTTTCCTGTTCTCTTACTTCTGTAAATCTTACTCTTACTCCATGGCTTGCTGTGTAGCTGGGTGGCTGGCCCCTGGAGTCCTCCTCCTTTTCTGGCTACTTCTTCTCTTTTCCCAGATTTCTCCTTCTATTTATTCTCTCTGCCTGCCCGCCCCACCTACCCTTTCTCCTGCCTCACTATTGGCCATTCAGCTCTTTATGAGACCAGGTATTTTAAACAAGTACAGTAACACAGCTTCACAGAGTTAAACAAATGCAACATAAACAAAAGTAACACACTTTAAAATAATATTCTACTACACATCACCAAAAAAAGAGGAAGTTGGTTATTTGTTATTATTTTATTTATTTTGTGTGTGTACAAGTAAATTCATGGGGTATGGGCATGTACACATGTACTTGAGGAGGCCAGAGGTCAACCACACACGTGTGAAGGTAACGGTCATCAGGAGTCATTTTAGTTACTGTTCCATTGTTGTAAAAAGACACTATGACCAAGGCAACTTGTAAGAGAAAGCATTTTAATTAGGGGCTTGCCTATAATTTCAGAGGGTGAGTCCATGATCATCATGGCAGGAAGTGTGGCAGCAGGAGGCATGGCTTGGGAGCAGTATCTAAGAGCTTACATCTGATCCACAGGCAGCAGGCAAAATCAGGGGTGGGGGGCCTGGAGTGGGCTTTTGAAACTACAAAGCCCATCCCCAGTGACACAACCTCATCCAACAAGACCACACCTCCTAATCCTTACCAAACATCTCCAACAACTAGGAACCAAGTATTCAAATATATGAACCCATGGGGGCCATTCTCATTCAAACCACCGCAGGAACTGTCTACTTTTCTTTTTATTATTCAAGACAGGACTCTCACTGGGACCTGGAACTTGCCAGCTAGATTAGATTGGCTGGCCAGTGAGCCCTATGGATTTGCCTAACTCTGCCTCTCCAGTGCCGGGATTCCAGGGAAGTGCCACCATGCCTGACTTTTTAAGGGGATGCTCAGGATTAAACAAGCACTTTACCAATTGCGACCAGGTGTGTTGTGACTTTAATTGCTAATGTTTCTTACTTCGAATTTGCAGTGTGGTAAATACAGATCAACATACTGGGGCCCCCCAATCATTTGTAACAAGGTAACTGGGTTCTTAGACCTTAAGTTGGAGAACTTCTGGCATGAAAGGATCTCAGAATGAACAGAGCCAGCCATCTCCTGGGAGTGTCAGTATGGCAGCCTATCCCAGGGGGATGCTGTGCATTTTGGGCTCACCTCTTCCTGCCTGGCACTGCTCCTGAGGCCTGTGGAAAGAAGGCTTTTACCTGGAAGTGATTCAAGGTTGAAAAGTTAATGAGGAGGAAAACCAAGGGTACCTCGTGAGGGGACAGCAAATACCACTTTCCAGAAAACAGCTGTAGGTAAAGCTATTGTCTCTCTAATCCAGGGGGCATCTTAGTGAGAATGGAGAACTCTAAGACCTCTCCGAATAAAGACAAGGTGTCCAGTGTTGCCACTTCAGTGCCTGGCCAGTACTTTCTGGAGAGATGGCCCCACTACTCATTAAAACTGTACGTGCTCCTGGTACTGTGTTTTTATGCAGTTGTTGATATGCCTCCCTTACCAAGGAAAGCTTGGGACATTCACAGTACATGGAATAGAGAGTCTCAAATACAAACTTTAATTAGATTTGAGTTTTACAGATTTCCCTCCTGTTTTTATTAACTCTTAGAGCAAATGTCTTTATTATCAACCTTATGCATGACACAGCACCTGCATCAATATCTGATAAATTCTGTGTACTTCCACAGGCTGCTATCCTCAGAGCTGTCTGGGTGGTTTGTTGTTGTTTGGTTTTAAACCCTTCAATACTGGACACCAGGGAGCATAACAATCATCTCTTTAAAATTGCCCTTCCCTTACAATCTTGAATTTGAAATGTGAATATATGAGTGTAAGAGCTCTCGATAACTATGCAGATTTATGGGAAATAACAATTTAGGTTCTATCCTGGGATTCAATCAGGCCTTCCTTCATGTGGCTGGGGATTCCTTGGAGCTGGGATACAGTTCAATGCAACTTATAACCGAAGTCATTTAGAAAGCAGTATAGCTGAAGATCTCGGACAGAAAGGTTCCTGGTACAACAACAAGATGGGATTCTGACATTAGGAAGGCGGGAATAAACATGTACACTAGCATGGAAATATCTGGAAGTTCCAGTCAGGGATTAGGGTAGCTTGATTTCTATTCTCCACTGTTTGAAAATGGGTTTACTTGTTAAAACAATAAATAAACAAACAAATAAATAAATAAATAAATAAATAAATAAATAAATAGATAGATAGATAGATAGATAAAAGATAAATAAATTAATTAATTAAATAAATAGGTAGATAGATAGATAATAAAAACAGCCAGTATAATTCAGCTGGAGGAGGCACAAAGATTTCTTCTATTCCTTGTTTCAGCAGAAATCGATGAGTTTAGCTAGTATAATTGTCCCCCCTGCGTTCAGTATTTGAAATAAAATAGCCCTCCGAACGCATTTCTGCGGCTTCAGCATCTGTGACTAAACAGTATTAATTAGATAATCCACGGAGAGCTGGCGGGTGGATGAGGGAAGGGGAGAGCAAGACCGCAGTCGACTCTGAAACCCTCATTTGGGACCCTGATAGCACTAAATAGGTATACTGGCTGAACTCCCAGAGGACTAAGCTCAGCTCCTAGCAGGATGGGATCTGCTTTAACGACAAGAGCAGGGCGGGAACTCCAGGCCCAAAGCTACCTCACCAACCTGCGGCTTTGGGCTCAAGGGAGGCCAAGCAGGCGGGAACAGCAGCAGCAACTCAGACCTCTTCCCAGGAATCCAAAGACCTCCCACCTGCCTCCCTTAGCCCCAGCGCTCCCAGCCTCCATTCGAACTTCATCCTTTCTCAGAGAAACGGTCCCCTAACTCCTAAGAAGTTGAAAGGGGAGATCCCCGAGTGGGAGAAGCCCTGAGAGATTGACAGACACCCCCGCTCCCCAACACTGTCCCTTGGAGATGCGCTTGCCAAACAGGCGAGGTCTTTCACAGTAACCTCCTCCGCGCTCTGACCCGTGCCTCATCTGGGCAGTGCAGTCTCTGCAGAGACCTCTGCGGACCCTTCGAGCGCATGGCCAGGAAGTCAGTTCGCGCCTCACTGCGCCTTTAAGGGTTCCCGAAACTTTCCCGCAGCTCTCGGCTGAGCCTCGTCATATCCGTTAGCCGTGGCCTCCCGGGCACGTTCCGAGGAAATTCTGCACTTCAGTTTCCCGGGGAAAAGGCGCGGCCCAAGACCCGTGCGCCCCGGGGCCCCGCGCCCATCCTTGACCTTGGCCACGGGGGGAGGGGATGGGCCTGCAGGGCGGCGACCGCCAGAGGGGGCAGCGACTGAGAACTTGCTCAACTCGGCGCCGCCTTCTTCTGCCTCCTCCCCGTCCGCCCCGCCCCGTCCCACCCGGCCCCGCAGCCCCGCGCGTTCGCTGACTCGCAGAGCCCCCGCCGCGCCGCGGGGATGGGCGCGCTGCTCCGAGCGCTCCTGCTCCCGCTGTTGGCGCAGTGGCTCTTGCGCGCAGCCCCCGCGCTGGCTCCAGCGCCCTTCACGCTACCCCTCCAGGTGGCCGCAGCCACGAGCCGCGGATCCTCGGCCGTTCCCGGGCTCGGGACCCCTGAGATGCCCCGTGCAGATGGCCTGGCGCTAGCGCTGGAGCCCGCCGGGGCTGCCGCCAACTTCTTGGCTATGGTGGACAACCTGCAGGGGGACTCTGGCCGCGGCTACTACCTGGAGATGCTGATCGGGACCCCGCCGCAGAAGGTAGGACTTGGGGGTAGGGGCTTCTGAGAGCTGTCTCCGCACGGTTTAATGTTGCCCCTAAAGCAGAAGCCTTCCCCTGAGAGAAAAAGGGGCCGTGGGGAGCATGGGTTGGACAGGGAGCGGCGGCGCGCGCTAGAGACGCGCTGGGGAGCGCAGCCTCTGCCCCAGCACAGCTCAGGGGGTGTGAGCAAATGTTTCGGAACTTGGTGGCCCTCCCCCACCCCGTGGGCCTGGCAGCTGAAGGGACCTGTAACGCGCTTCCTCTCCAGGAGTGACGCCTCCTTCCAGCAAGGTGGGTGGAGGGGAGTCTTGGAAGAAGGTGCGGTTAGGTAGAGGGAAATCATTGGAGTTGATACCCTCCTTCCATGCTGTCTCATTGCTAAAGAGACTCTTGGCCGGCATCCAAGGCGCAGTACCCTTTAAAAAAGAATTCTCCATGAGCTCAGATAAACGATAGTCGGTCCCGAAGTGTCTCTTTGCCCCGCGGAGCCGCCTGCCTTCCTCAGAGTTGGTTTGCAGGCTTCCTCCTAGTTACCTGGCTACCCAGCCTCAGGGCGCCGTGCACCCGCCAAGGCATGCACCCTGCGGGGTTGGAGAGTGTGAATGCCATTAACTACTGAGGGGCTATACCAGGCGCATAGCAAGGCAAGGCGAAGACAAAACAAAATGCAGTCTAAACAGCTTTCTGCTCGCCCTTGTTCCGATGTTCATTTAACACTTCGTGTAGCGAGGAACACAGACTCCGAAGCTCGGAGTCTGCAAGGAAAAGAAAAGCCTCCCAGAAGTGATCCGACCTTCTCAGATCTACCCACTTGAGTTCAAGTTCTCTCATGAGTTGAATGCACCGTATGAGGATACTTTATTTTTATTTTTAACATTGTCGTTGGGGTTTTTCATGCTGATGTGATTGCCCATAAATAGAACATGCTCATGACTTTTGTATAATTCTAATTAAATTATTCAAGACTTTAAGAAGACACACCATGCTAATTTTTAAAAAGAGAAACTGCAGAATAACTTCTGTAGCTGTTTGGTTAAAAAAAAAAAACCCTTAAAGAGTAAATTATTTTGCTGAAAACTTTGGTTGTGGTTGCTGTGCAGGATCCTTGTGTGGCCAGCCCAGGAGTGGCTGCAGGGCAGACTCAAGTGGGGCCTGTGTCAGCTGAGGAAGCTTAGGGGCCCCTGAGCAGTCAGACCACCACCACGTGAGCATGATCCCAGGGTGGTGGGAATCCTGTGGACTGTCTTTAGCAGAACTGTACAGAACAGGAGGAGCCTCTTCTGTGCCATACAAAAATCTTTCATACACAGGCCTTGACCGATTCCCCGTTTGGGAAACTTCTACTTTTAAGGATGGAAATTCTTATTGGCTTTCGAGCAGAAGGGAAAACTCTCCTGAACTGAAGCAGGCTCCAGGGCTGAGGAAGCGGAAACCAGAAAAACCTCTAAGGAGAAGACACCTCTCACAAAGCTCCCCTCAGCCATTGCTTGCCTTTGTTGATAACTCAGAGACCTTTACTTTAAACTCAGTGATAAAGTTTAGTTAATTAAATTAGCTGGGATGTAACAAGCGCCTAGGTTTGTATCCTTAGCACAGCCAAGATAGTAGTTCCTCCAAGGTTGTTTATCAGTTAGACTGTAGCATGTTTTTAAAGAAGGCTGTTCTGTGACAAACACAAGTATCATTTTTGTGTCCCACAGGAGTGAACTGTTCTGTATCATGGCACGCTGGAGGGACAAGCTACCACAGGGCAAAATCTGTGCATCTGATAATCCCCCTGTGAACGCCAGGTGCTGGTGACTGCCTTGCAGCCTGCCCTGTAGTGTCTCTGGCACCAGCAGGGGTTTGCAACTGGCTAGGGAAGGCAGTAGGGAGGTGACCTTTGAACCCCAGAGATGGTTCCTGCTCTAGTAATGGGCACAGGGTCATGCATGTATTTTCTTTGAGTTCTCTAACACTTCAAATAAAATTACTTAGAAGCAATAAATTACCAAGACTTCTTCAGGTGTTAATAGCTGTAGACAGTGTCCTGGGCCTCCTCACAGGATGACGACCTTGACAGATGTGTTCCCTCTCACATCCCCAACCCTTATATCTTAACAGTCTTGTGGGGGGTGTATGTAGGGGTATGTATGTGTGTGTGTGTGTGTGTGTGTGTGTGTGTGTGTGTGTGTGTGTGTGAGAGAGAGAGAGAGAGAGAGAGAGAGAGAGAGAGAGAGAGAGAGAGAGAGCGCGCACACGCGCGCGCACTGCGAGCGCCTCTGGAAGCCACAAGCTTGGGTGTTATTCCTTGGGGGGCTGTTCACCTTGATTTTTGAGATAGGCTCTCTTGGTGGGATTAAGCTGGACTTCTATCTCTGACTCCTGGTGCTGGGATTGAAAACATCACCACAAGTTCCAGCTTTTGTGCTAGCATTGCTGTGTGCCTGAAGGGTGGCAGGGGTGAGGTTTGGAAACATTGAATGACTTGCTCGGGCAATGGGGGAAGAAAGAGGGAGGGTGGGAATTGAGCCCAGATCATTAGACTGAAGGAGCTAAGCTCTGAGCCACAGGCAGACTGCGCTCACCCCTGCATGTTTCCTGCCTGCTTTTCCTTGGTTTGTGCTACAAAGTACGCTTCCCTGACCCCAGGGTGTTAGGGACTGTATGCCTGACTGTACCTAGAGTCTTTCCTATACTCTGGTTACCCATTCTCCCTTTTAAGGCTATGCTTAAAGACAATCTTAAGGAATGAACTGTGAGAGGATGTTGGACAAGAGGCTGGATATGAACCAAAGCTCAGCAGACCCCTGCTGTTCTATGGGAAGGCCAGCCATTGGGAGTATGCTTACCCCTGTCCTGCATGCTTTCATACAAGAACTGGGATCAAATGTCCTGCCCACCGACTCTGTGAGGAGTCACAGGCTTCTGCCCAGCAGCCTGGACGAGCCTCAGAGCCCTGTACTGGCAGGCAGGCCCACGTTGGCATGGAGATGAGAGTCAGGGTTGCACAGTGATAGCATTATGTGACTCCTATCTAACAGGAGAGCCAGCATCCACTGGAACCATGCAATTTGGTCTTATTAATAATAATAAGAATGTTCAAAAGTGATTATAATTATAGCAATTTCCATTATTAAAATATACTTTCATGCTAACACAATAAAAATAGCAAAGGTCTGCAACTGTATGCTTTTTGGTGGCTCGAAGAGGGCTCTGGGGGCTTTTTATTGGACGATTTCCTGTCATCCACAGGGGTATGGATGAAACAGATGGCAAACTCTTTTCACATTTAAGCTTTCAAATGTAAACATTTAACAAAGTACTTTGGCACATGTGCTGGGTTATTGATCAACCTCTTAGCACAGCAATTGAAAGTACAGAATGAGCTTCTCTATATAATTCAAGAGTTTTCTTTCTTTCTTTTTTTTTTAAGAGTAACTCACCTGGGGTCCCCCAATCACATTAAGCTCACAGTAAATGAGGCTGGAAAAAGGAAGGCAGCCAGATGAGAGGAAATCAGGAGGGGGACACTAAGATTCTGTTAAAGATGATGAAGGAAGAGAAGGCCAGGGCTTCTCAGGCAGTTGATGCTCATTTCTTCAGGTTAGATGTGGAGCCCCTGGGCATTAGGAAAAGGATTCATCGGAGGATGTAAAAGATAGACAGAGCTCAAGGAGACCCAGCAGCAGCACCTGCCTTTATTTCTTGCATATCCAATGTAGGTGTCCTGCTAAACATTTGTTTTGTGGGGTGTGGGATCAAACCCAAACTAGAAAAGTATTTCACCATTGAGCATGGTGTGTCCACCCCCAGCCCCCACCCCCCTGATTGACCCATCCCTGTCTTGTGTGCTCCTCAGGCGAAGCAGTTTGCTCACCTCACCTCACTGGCTTTTCATGCCTTCCTATGGACACTGGACAATCACTGGACTTAATTTTAAGATGGAAACTGGGGCTTGTGCCGAGTCAGTCCTGTCTCCACGGCCACGCTGTGCAGGGTGGGTCCATCCATGCCATCAGGCTCCATCTGCACTTGTGCCCCTGTCTTATAAGTCCCCCGTCTCAGTTGTAGTGGCTTTAGAAAAGAGCCGTCTTCCCTTTCCTGAGCAGTTTGGTGGTGTTGAGGACACTGAGGCGCTTTGGTGTCCTCGATGACCAGGACCAAATGGTTCCCGTCTCTGAGCCCTCAGTCCTCCATGGTTGGTGTTCTGTTACCTTTGCATTAGTTTCTTCACTTTCCTAGCAAACCCCTGTAGCCCAGAGGCTTGAAAATATTGAAATCTATTTCTTCATGGTTCTAGAGTCTGGAATCCCAAAACTGGGATGTCAGTGACAGGGACATCTTACCTCTGGAGGCTCCAGGGAGGATGCTCCATTTCCTCACCTTAGCATCTTGTGTTCTTCACTTTGTAGCCGTATTGGTCCGGCCTCTGCCTCCATCTTTGCTGACTTTCTTCCTTGTGTGTGTGTCTGCATACAGTACAGTCATTGTAAAGACACCAGTCCTTGGAATGCCTTGCTTGACCTTGACTTCTGTATGTCTCGAAGACTCACATTACTGACAAGGTTCTGGATTTAGGTTTCCAGCTCCTACAGTCATGCTCCACATCACAGAATTTCCATCAGCACTGGACTGCACAGACAGTGGTGGTCACATAAATCTGCATGGTCTATGACTCTTTAGCCATCTGTCTTAGTCACTTTTCCTGTTGCTGTGACAGAAGACCGATAAAAGCAAATTAAAGGAGAAAGGGTTGATTCTGTCTCACAGCTCAAGGACAGTCCATCATGGCGGGAAAGCCAAGGTGGCGGGCACGTGAAGCAGTCGATCATATTGCTTTCACAACCGGAGTGCAGCAGACAAGGAGAGCGTGCTGCTGCTTAGCTCCCCTTCTCCGTTTTACGTAGTCCAGTATCCCATCCAGGGAATAGTCCAGCCACGGTGGGCGGGTCTTTCCACCTCAATTGATACAAGCAAGGCAGTCCTCCACAGGCTTGCTCAGAGGCCCGTCTCCCAG